CTGGGGTAGTTTGGAAGAAGAAGAATTCAATGTCAGCTTCACAAAGCAGAATCCTCAAAAGACCTGGCCTTTATTCAGGAAAAAAAGGAAGTCATAGGTCTCCCAGCATCCAGGGAACTCCTGCCTTTCAGCTGCCTCAATGAGACCCAGTGCATGAGAGCAGAATGCTGGGGAGGTGCTCTTTTCAGCTGGGAGTCAAGCCTTGAGTTCTAATCTTTTATGCTACCTGAGATAAAGCAGTCCCAATGTAAACAGACATTCCTGCCCTTTCAATCCAGATTTGTATTGAGCTCTTTCCAGACAGGCAATGACAAGAACAGGCACAGGAAGAGAGCCTTCCTCATGCCATCACTATTAAGGTTCCAAAGACCTGTTCTTCAGCTTTTTCCCTTTTCAGTGTCTCTCACATCTCTGAAAAACTGTTTAGAAAATACAGCTCTGCTAATCCAGTGGCTTTCTCCTCTGAGTCTGCAGGATTCTAAATATGAAACAGAAGGAAGGCAAAACCTAATTATCACATTACTTAAAATCATGGCCCAATCTCACTGGGTTTACTTATGTGATTAAAGTTTCATTTAAAGAGGAGAACAGGGGGCAACCAAGGAGCTACCCCACCAATTTCAGTGGGTTGTGGATTTTTGCGTGGGTATTTACAGCTACTCTTACAACTACATGAAGGTTTGACACCACTGGAACTGCCTGGTCTAGGTTGTGTGGAAATGCAAAAGATGAGATTCCAAAAGCAGCAACACCTTGGTCAAATAGGATGAGTGAGGTGTTCTTGCAATCCTGCTTGCTTGATGAACAGCATAGCAAGACACGCTGCGTGTTTGTACTGCAAATAGGAGCACAACCCCAACCTAGAGGTGGCTTTAAAAGATCTTTATACTGTCTGCTTGTGTCCACACTAGGAAGAGGGTGGGAGGGTGGGGAAGTGTACCTGTGGGAGAACATTGTGTCGTAAACATATTTTTCTCCTGACCTAGCAGCAAACCTATATGCCACCTGACTCTAATGAATACTAGGCAAGCAGCGAAGGAACTTGTTGCTAATTGGGAAAAAAAACCCTTTCACAAAGAAGCAAGTCAGCCATGAGAGGTGAAGCTCCTCAGGCTGAGGGTAAGAAAGGGCAGTGACTGGCAACAGTGGTGTGGGGAATGCATACCTGACCTGGTGGTTCAGAGGACTGTGGCAAGAAATGCTGTTATAAAACTGACTTTTTTGCCCTGAGGGAGGAAAGAAAAAGGAATATCTATCATTTAGAAACATATTCCTTTTAGTACCCTTCATACTCTTCAGACATGCTGAATCATTGTGTAGAAAGCCTTATGGTATTTTCAGCCCAGAACGAAGCTACAGCAGACAAAGGAACCAGGCAAACACAGTGTTAGTGAACCTTGCTAAAGGAAACACTATGGAAATCAGGGAGAGGAGGACACAATGACTACAGGATGTATTCCTTCTATAGCAGGGGCCAGTTCAACCTTTGGGTTGAGAACAAGATTCATCCTGGGCAGCCGTGTTAAATGAGATTTTGTAGGGAGGATGTGATGGGCTAGCCTTCACACATCAAAGGTTATCATCCAAATTCACAGCACAGGAACACAGATTTTTATTTTTTTTTTTTACAGATCTGATCAATGCCCTGGCTAACCCAATTTCCTGCTCTCAAACGCGGCCCATGACTTAATGCTTGAAAGGAAGGAAAATCCTCCCTGGCTTCAGCTCACTGACAGTACATTGCCAGACTTGGTGAAGTGTCTTAACTGATCCCTACATTTGTTCAGCAAATGTTTAATTGGTGCTGCTGTACATCAGAGCATTTTAAGCTTAGGTAGCAGTGTCAGCAGCATGGCAAGCCCTGAGTCATGCTGTGTTCTGCAGTTCTGTAGTACGAAAAACAAACCCAGGGGCACAGTGAAAGTATCTGTTGCTCCTATGTGTTGGTAGACTCTTTCAAACAGTTTTGCTGCACTATCAAATAGTAACTCCAAAAGATAAAACAAGATGTTCCTATCTGTTGAGAAACTTCATCTGTTCAGCCCTGGCCTTTCTGTTTGAGTGTCTTTGTCAAATAGAGCCCTCATTACTGCTGCTCATGCAACAGTGTCATGAAGATCTGACAGCAGCAAAGTTTCCAGCCCTGTTCCATAAATAAGAGGAGTATTCCAAGCCCTTCCCTACTTGCACAGGAGGATGAGGACTGCACTGTGTTCTGAAACAAATCCATAACCAGCAAAGGAAACAACTGCACTGGAGTGGAACTCCTTGGCCTATTCTTTGTCTTCTAATGTAGATGGAGCCAGAGGTGTGGAATCGAGTCCCTCCGTGATGCCTCCCATGGGATAATGCACAGTTTGCATTTCTCCAAAGCACAGTGATTTGGAATAACAGCTGTAAAGGAATTTATCTTGAATACTCTTTTGAAAACAAATTCCAAACTGTTAAGGTTTTCTTTTTTAGGGGGGTACTGGATTCTTTTTTTTAAAGACCCTTTAAGGGCTACAGTTGGAACAAGCTGTTTTTGATCTGCTTAGAAATGGGCTTCCCTGCAAGAAAAGGCTGTTTCAGGGGAGCACTGACATTCAACGCCCCTTTGAAAGACAGCAGGGACCTAAAGACCATTGATGCTGTCACATTTCCAAGACTGAATTCCTCCCTATAATATCCAGGCTTGCAGCCAATTTGGCTGGCTTGGAGCAGTTGTAGCTTTACAACATGCTTGATGTGTATTCACATTTCAAAAAGGAAAAGAAAAACCAACATTGCAGAGTGATTCAGAAAGATAGCAGATGATGGAGTGGAGCAACGAAGTCACAAGCAAAGCCAACACAAGCAGAGATCACTAATTCTGCTCCTTCAAAAGAGTGCCTGAGCATTTGTACCCCAGCCCAATACAACTATTTCCTTTTCCCATATCTGATCCCCTACACGGCTGCTGTGGTACCATAAAACAAACTAGTTTCAGAACACAGCAGGCTATTTATGATTCTTTTCTTATGAAGAGTCACTGTTCTTCAGAAACTGATCATTCATGGATATTTCTTGGGCAGGAGGCAAAGGGGAGGGAAGAGGATTCTCTGTCTGTTTGCTCAAAAATTTAGGAGAAATGTTCTCTTTGTTACTGACACATTTTGCTGATCTATAACACACAAATATCCCAAAACCCCTTGACCATGCAGTGGAGATAAAGGAAAATGGCTGAACTCCACCAAGTTACGAGTGGGTGTGTAATAAGCTTAAAGGCTTTCGAGAACTTTTATTTAGTATAATGAGTGTTGTTAAATTCAGAATTCAGAGGAATTTGCAACTGCAGAGGAAATATTTTTTGCTCATAGATTAGGAAAGAGATACTTTAGAGATAAAAGATCAAGAAATTTTGTCTGGGGAGTTCCTTTAGTAAAGGCTGTGCTATTTTAATTATTGTATTGTTGCTACAACAGTGAGCAGATTGTGGACACTATACATGGAAAAATATGGGTGAAAAGCACTAATAAGCACTAGTCTTGTCTGCAGTCTTAAATTTGTCTGTCCCTTTGGCACCTTTTCGCTTACAGGAAATGCCTCCTGAGAATGAGAGCTGATGGGGAGGGACTGCATAGTTTTTAATACTCCATGAATCTGTTTGGGGAGTAGAGGGAGACTGGCTGCTTTGTCTTTTTAAAGACAAACCACATACACGGGGAGGGGGGACTGCTCTTTAATTTTCTGAAACTATCTCTTATGTATCTTATATTCAAAAGCATTTGTAAGGGTTGTTTAGAGACAGAGGAGATGTCATTCCTGAAATATCACAACTTGTCAAATCTTGTATCCAGGGAGATAGCAAAAATCAGACCACAGTACTAGGTGGCAAAGATAGCATTTGTCATGTTACTTTATAGTTTTTAAAAATCTTTTGACCTTCCAAGACAGTCTGTGTGACTGAGATGCGGTACACTTTTGTTTTTTAAATGTTTCCATTTATTTAACACTTTAAGTACTTGTTTGCAGGACTGAACCTATAACGTGAAAGAGATCAAAATATCTTAGCATGAATTAGAGTACATTTTTCTCATGTAATATATTCATTTCAGCACATCTCCAGAGAGGATTTTATAGCACAGATATTTCCCAAAGTGACAGAACTGTGAAAGTGTCTGTCTCTGGTATGTGTTTACCTTGGAACCGTCTCTCAAGAGGCTTCTTCTTCAACACAAACAGACTTCCCCACGGACACAAAATTTCCCTGCCATGCAGATTGAATACTTTTTAAAGGAAACTTCCTATACAACAACTAAAACCCACAAATGAAGGGGAGCAGGGAGGGGATGCACTTGGGCCACTATTGCTTTTCCTGCCTTTTCCATGATAACTGGGCCCAGAAGCCTCAGCCCCCCTAGCAGCCCTCTGGGTAGACCCCATTTTAGGCAGCATCAGTAATGTGGACAGCAGGAGCTCGGGCCAGTCTTTGAGGGCAGTTATACACCACTCTGCTTTGTCTGGGATGGCAAAAATTCCCATGACAGGAGCCTTCAAAGTCTTGGAGCATGAAACCTGAGCGCTCAGGTGCCCTGGTGTGCAGGAACAGGGGCCTCCCAGAACAGACGGGCCCGGCTGTCCCGAGTCCTGCCAGTTCCAGCCTCTCCCACCGCATTTGCCCAGAAAATCGATCTTGTAGCGCCACTTTCGGGGTGGCTCTCTCCCCGTACTCGCTCTGGATTTTGCTCTTTGGCATCGTGAGCTGGGGCCGTTCAGCCTCGAGCAGAAGAGGCTCCCGGGAGGCCCCAGAGCCCCCCCCACGGTGTCTGAAAGGGGTCCCTCCGGGGTCTCAGCCGTTCCGACCGCCGAGGCCGCGCTCGGGGCGGTGGCACCGCGGCCCCGCCCGGCCCCGCCCCGCCCCGCCCCGCCCCGCCCGCCCGGCCCCGCCCCGCCCGGCCCGGCCCCGCCCCGCCCCGCGCCCACTCGCTGCCGCCGCGCCGGGACCGAGTGCGGGCGCCGCTGCCACCGGCAGCCACTGGGCACGGGGCACCAGCCACAGGGCACCGGGCACCAGCCACAGGGCACCGGCCACCGGCCATGGGCCGCGCCGCGCCCTGGCCGCGGGCATGACAGCGCGGCCGCGCCCGGAGCTGTGCCGCGGGCTCCGCACGGAGCCAGGCAAGTACTGTCCGTCCTGCCGGGGCCGAGCCGGGGTCGGCGGAGGGTTTGCCGCTCCCCTGGAGTGGCTGTGCGGAGGGTCAGTGGCGGAGCCGCTCAGCTGTTGGCGCCAGGAGCGCGGGAAGGTTCGCGGAGGCGGATCGGGGGACAGTGGACGGGCGGGAGGCGGGCGGAGGAGCCCGGTTCCCTCGGGCGGGCGGGGGCCGGTGTGTACGCGGGGTCGGGACGGGAGTCACCGGGAGCTCCGGAGCGTGAGGAGTGTTCGCAGAGTCGCTGCTGCATCACGCTGTTGATCCAGGAGGGACCGGTCAGGTGTGCGTTCCCGCGCGCTCGTGTCGGCACGGGAGGACGAGCGCGGGATCCAGCGCTGCCTCGTCCCGTTGCCTCTCCGCGAGCAGCCGCCTCTAAGCGCAGTTCGCGGCACCGGCTGCGGCCGGGCAGGGTTGCCGGGGCTGCACGGAACTGCAGCTACGGTTCTGTACTCAACCGAACAAACGACAGAATGTCGTATTAGCATAGGGTTAGCCTGAAATAATGGAAAATAAGAGGGAAAACTGTAAACGTTATCCAAAATGCCAGTCTGAAATTCTCAAATGAATCATCCAATACAAACAGTAGCTGAGTGGAACAATTTTCTTTGCAGGGATTTTCCACTGGAATAAATAGCAAGTTCTGTTAAAAAAATCCAGAGTGATTGTTCATTGCAGCTTTTGCTGACAGTTCTTTAGAGCCACTTGCAGTTTTTACCTGTGAGCCCTACCTAAGACAGAGGTGGCTGGTTTTCCCTTTACCTTCTCATCTTCTTCTATATTTAGAACATTCCTTAATGTTCTTTTTCCTCGGCAGACCCTTGCCTGCCCATGCCTTTGTACCCAGACAGAGTGTCACTGTGATGTGCCAACTCCACATTACCTGCAGAGATAGAAAATGAGGATCTTTTACAGTATGTTCTTTGTCTCAGCATCACAGCCAGTTGCTTGCTTGCACAGCCAGAGCAGTAGGGCCATGGACACCTGCTTCTGCGGAAACATGGAGCTCTAAATGGATTGTATTCCCCAGGATGCACAAAGCATGACCAGGCATGCACCTCCTCATCCTTCCACTGATGTCTTTGAGGACTTGGTCATCAGTTTGTCCAGCATGACCTTAAGTTAATTAAGCCACTGGTACTTGGGTTATGTATAAATGGCAGTGTTCCTGATCACAGCACAGCTGCCAATGCCTCACTGAGACCTGGCACCGCTCATGCCCAGCTGCAGGGAAGTTCCTGGGTACATTTCCTGGGCCCCTGCGGTGGTGCTTTCCAGTGCACAGCTAAAGAGAATTAAAGTATTTAGTCTGTGAGCCAGAGAAAAGATGGTCAGGAGGTCTTTTTGGTATGCACAGACCTTTTAAACCTGTCCCCCAAGCCTGCAGCTAAGCAGTTTTCTCCAAGATCTCGCTACCTGCACAGGCAGTAGCTCAGTTGCAGCCCATTTATTTAACGCCCTCTAGTGAGGTTTTAAAAATTAACATAGATTTCTTTCATGAGGAAAATAAATATTAGATTTCATTGGTTAAAAAAATTTACATTTTCTGAGAGTCAGCTGCTTCAGGGAATCCCTCTCAAACATGATACCACACTTTGGATGGGTGCACAGCCTAATTTTGGATAGGCATCTCTGACCATGGAGACATAATGATAGTCTCTGCCTCCCCTGCAGACGCTGGGTGCTCAGCGAAGGTATTTGCATCAACAGCACTGGACGTAGTTCCTTTCTTTTGACCTGTCTTTAAGTACTGCTGCACTTGGGGTTTTGGCTGAACCTATGTGTGGATTGCTTGACGTGGCTCTGGTCTAGGCAAGCTTGGCATTCATAGAAGGGTTCATTTATGCTTCTTGGTGCTCCACCTTTGTTCATTATAATTCAGCTGGGCTGGCCTCAGACTTGGGAAGTGGCCTTGTCTTGCAGAGAAGCTAGCTTCAGGGGCTGGAACTCTTTTAGGTTGTAACCAAGGGATGTGACTTGATCATCTGTGTAGTCAGACTGGTTTTTACTTCATAGGTGTGGGAGATGATGAGAAATGTACTATGGATATGGTTTCTCTTAATTAGCTGGAAGATGTAGTGGATACTTTTTCTTCATGATCGGCCGTGAGGGATCTCAGATCCTCTCCTGCTTGTAATACATAAGATTCTGATTTGCAGCTCCAATGCAGAGATGCTTCTTGTGGATTCTTTCCCAGTCCCTCATGGACAGCATTACATCAGCACACCATCCTCCATCTTTCTGCCTGCCACAGGTTCACCACCTCTCTGTCACACCAGCACCCTCACAAACACCCACAGACTCCTGTATTCTATTCACCTTCATCCACATACTGCTCACTCCTCCACCCTTGCCAGTGACACTGTCACAGCAAGAGTTCCCAGCAGATCTGAATACATGCATCTCTGAGAACACCCACAGTAGCACTTGGCCACTTGGGCTGTTGCTCACCTGTGTCCTGCGTCACCCATGTGTGGTCACACCGATGTCACGCGGCATCTGTCTCACATGGACACCCCCAGCAGCCTCCAGAGCACTGGCAGCATGTCACCCGTTTGGCAGCACTGCTCAGGGGACAGCTCAGGGGACAGCCCAGGGGTCTGGCTGGGAGCTGCATGCAGAGGTCACCCAAGGGTGGTACTAAAGTGTGGTGCACACCTCATCTATGTGGATTTCCTATCTTCCCTAAGACGGGAAATCTGCCTTGTCAGCTCCCCACCTCTCAGTGTGCTGCTCGTGAGGGACTGGCACCCCTTCAAGGTGTTCTCTCTCTGGTCGGTGGCAGCGATATGATTATTGACACCTCATAGAGCAAACAGCAAGTCTGCTTAACAGCATTTTCTCCATTTCAGCCAGAGGCTGGGAGCGTGGCAGTTACTGCAGTTTAAAACGAAACTATAAAGCAGTAAACCCCACTTCTCATCTTTCACTTCTCCGCGTTTCCTCCTGAGAGATCTTAGAGCTGTGGGAAGAAGGCCTGGCACAGGGATGGGTGCTCAGTGCCCATGCACCGAGGATCAGCCCCTCTTTGCTTGTCTGCCCAGTGCTGCCCTCCTCATGTTCCCTCAGAACAAATGGCAGGACAGATAAGGACATGGAAGTTTCCAAAACCAGGCACTCATAGTTAGCCCCTCCGAAAACAGGTAGGGTGGAGTCCAGTTTGTGGACAGCGAGAGAGAAACTGAAGCAAAACAGGATGTTTTTGTGAGTTAAAACTTATTTTTCATCATTCTTATTGACAGGCTTGTTTTGGCTTGGTTAGAAGATGTCTGCCACATTTATCGGGAAAGACCTTTGTGCATGTATGTGTATGTATGCAGATGTGTATGTGCATGTGTCCTTGTGTAGGGATTGTACATGAAGAGCTACTATTCAACCTCAGGAAAATTTTCTACCTGAAAATTAGTAAAACTGGTAGGGGCTAACAGCTAAGTAATGGCGAATATAAAATCCATCTATGAAACTCTTCTGTAAATCTTGCCGTACAATTGCCTTCTGCTCTGAATACTTCAAAATTGGAAAGATTCTATCAAATTGTAAAGTATTTACCAAAGACCCACAAAAATACTCATGACTGTAGGTATTAGCTTATGAATAAACGTGTTAAGCCAAAGTGATAAATAAGGGGCAGATTAGGAAGCCATTGGGGTCATCTGTACCCCACAGTATGTCCTATATTTGGCCAAGTTTCAGCTGATACAGTTTTCACACTAGTTCCTGTAGAGTTAAGACAAAAATGGAGAAGAAATACTGGGAGAAATTAAGTCAGGGAATAATATAGAAATCAGAATAAGTGTCTTTAAATGGAATGTTTCTTGGAGTTTTCCATCGCCTGTGCACCAGAAATGGAGGCACAGAGAACGACATCTCTAAAAACCCCTATGGCCACAGGTGCTTCTGGGGGCAGGTGAACCTCTGTATCTCTGTGCCACACAGATCCAATCCCCACAAGCCCAGCCTGTGCCCTTGCATGGGGTATGAGGGGTCATTGCACTGCTTTAGCCTTTGTCCAGTTCCCAGGGGATGACATACCCACTCTCACCACCTCTGTCCTTTGCAGACCACTGATATTTTATTGCTGACTTCAGGGGAGCAAGATTCTCTACCTTTGTTGTTTCTTTTCCTTGACTCTGAGTTTCTGCAGTGCCTTGCAGCAGTTGCTCCTGTGGAACAATTATAACAGCCTTGTGTAAAACTTTACATGAATAGTGTGATTCCACTGTTGGTCTTTTTCCAGCTCTCACTCCATCAAAGAACTGGGGCATGTTCTTTAAGGCCACACAGCTTGACTTGCATTAGTTCATAGCAAGAGCTTTTTCGTATAAGAATGTGCACATTTCTTTGTTAATCTCACTTGGCAAACTCTCCCCTGGCCTCCAGGTTATTTGATCTCTGAGCTCCTCATCCTCCATAATCAACTTCTCTCCTTCCCTTTCTCAGCCCGCTGGCAGCTCTTCAGGCTGTGTTTTCAGACCCCTCCTTTTCACATTCTGTTTCACATGGGCTCAGCTCACATAATGCTGCTCCCTCCTGCCTTCCCTTTCTTGACCTTTGCTCAGCTGCTGAGTGATGTCTCTCCCTTGGCCACTGTCAATGCTTAACCCTTAATGTTCCTGCAACTCCAAAAACTGGCAAAAAAGTGCAATTGTCTAAGCCAAAATCTACTTTTATTTGCCCAGCTCATGTAACTTCAGACTTGCAGTTCCTCTGAAATTCATTATGTTTGGATCCTAATTTGAAGCTGGGATCTCTATTTTTCATTTCAATCAACTGCAGAATTCTGTGGAATTAAATCCTGCAATATAGCACAAACCTATCCTGGGTTTTGAGGAGGAGTTTGACAGTGAATGATACTATGAGTGTGCCCATGCTGACGCTGACAGGCAGTTGAGCAGGCAGCAGAAAGAGGAAAATGCCTTTCATAGTGTGTGTGCTAACAGAGACGCTGTTGATTAACCCATTTTTCAGCCA